AACACATGGAACACATCATGTACCCCTGACAACTGAGCTAGTAACCAAAATTGATACACCACTTTGCCCACCGCTTTGATCACTTCAAATGGTCCGATATACCTTGGGGCTAATTTTTCCTTCTTGCCAAATCTTAACATTCCCTTCTTGGGTGACACTTTGAGGAACACATAGTCCCCTTCTTGGAATTCCAATGGTCTTCGTCTTCTATCCGCATAGCTTTTCTGTCTACTTTGTGTCGTGTGTAGTCTTTCTCGGATAAGTTGAATTTTTTTGTAGTTTCCCGAACAATTTCTGGCCCAAACAAGCTACTCTCGCCCCCTTCTAACCAACACGTCGGTGATTGACATGGCCTTCCGTACAATGCTTCATACGGAGCCATTTCAATACTTGCCTGATAGCTGTTGTTGTATGCAAATTTCACCAATGACAAATGGTCACTCCAACTTCCCTTGAAGTCCAATACGCTAGCATGGAGCATATCCTCCAAAATTTGTATCACCATCTTGGATTGACCATCCGTTTAGGGATGAAAAGCTGTGCTAAAATGCAATTCTATCCCCATAGCTCGTTGTAGACTTTGCCAAAATTATGCCACAAAACGGGAATCACGATCCGATATGATAGAGAATGGAACTCCATGCAATCTTACGATCTCGCAGATATACAACTTGCCCAAGGTCTCTAGAGTGTCTGTGGTCTTCATACTCAAGAAATGTGCGGAGTTGGTGAGTCTATCAACTAGAACCCATACTACATTATGCCCGTGCGACGTCCATGGTAAACCCGACACGAAATCTATACTGATGTGATCCCACTTCCACTTTGGGATAGGCAAAGACTGTAGTAATCCTCCTGGCTTTTGATGCTCGATCTTCACCTATTGGCACACCATACATCGTGCTATGAACCTTGCCACATCCTTCTTCATTCCTTTCCACCAATATTGGCACTTCATATCCCTATACATTTTTGTGCTACCGGGGTGTATAGCAAACTTAGAGCGATGACACTCTCCGAGTATCTCCTCCTTTAGGGATGAATCATCGGGAACACATAGCTTCTCCCTATATCTCAGTTCTCCATTTCTCAAAGACCAACCATCCATTGTTTCTCCATTCTCCAATTTAGCTTGAATCGATGCTAAGTCAGGATCTAAGCATTGCAATTCCACAACCCTACGTTGAAGGGTAGGTTAGGCCATAAGGTTGAATAGGCATGGCCGAGATCTATCTTCTCCAACCCATAGATCATAGTCTCCAAGGGCATCCCTCATCTTCCATTTACTTGCAAGAACATTGAGTTCACCCCAAGACTTTCGGCTTAGTGCATCGGCGACTACATTGGCCTTCCCCAGATGGTATTTGAGTGCAAAATCATAATCTTCTAGATACTCAACCCACCTTCTTTGCCAAAGATTCAAGTATTTCTGTGTGAACACATACTTGAGGCTCTTATGATAAAAAAGTACTTGGAACGTTTCCCCGTATAACTTTGGTTTTCTATGGATTTTTATATAATTGAATCTTGTTTGAATATAGAGTTTAGTGCAACACTAGGCAACAGAGTATCCAATGGGAGTTGAGTACAAATAAATCTCAAAGAAACCACATTGTTTGACTTGTAGGAGATATATTAGAGGATGATGAAAAGTAGTAGCCCCCATCCCATTAGTATATTTGATTATAGCTAAGATTATAAACCTCCGATACATTTGGGTACTCATATGCGATGATTGTTTTGAACATATTTTTAAGGTTTGCCTCTTTAAGGCCATAGACTTTGAATTATCAATACTCTTTAACAGATTTCATCCTTTGGCACCTAGCATCACTACGGATTGCTCTTATCTACCTTTGTTCCATTTGTCATATTAAATGTACTTTCTTACTTCCAAAATTTGTGACATATTAAAATAGTGTCCAAAGGCAATTCATGTGATCACATTCAGCTTAATTTACAACTATATTGTCAAGACTACTTGTGCTAGAAGTGGTAACTGGACAATATTTCTCAAAACTTGTGTTTTGATCATCCTTTTCGACTTGATAGAACTAAAGCTATGTGTACCTCATTTTTTTTTAATAAAATAAAAAAAAATTATTTGAGGAAAGGGAATAAAAAATAGGATACATAGTGGAGGACAAGAAATCCTCAAACATAATAATAAAAATTTTTTAAAAAAACACAATATAAATAATAACTATGCATTGACACTAAATCAACGCTGCAATCCAATCCCATTGAGGATTCGATAATGGTAAGCCTGTAAAACTTCATGTGGTTATAGTCCATAGAGAAGCCATAGTCATCCTAGCATCGCCTCTAAAATAGAATATTACAAGGACGGTCATCTTGGAAAACCAAGACTAGCCGAGCATTAAGCAAAAAGTGTCATGGGGTTATTTTCAACCAAGTGTTGACCTTGTTCGATGCACTCGATAAAGAATTTTCTTGACGAGGGAATACTTTCCAACAACAAAGAAGAGGCACGTAGATTAAGACTAAAGGCATCCAGATTCTAGATATCACCTAATGGGGAACTCTACAAAAGCTCCTTCGTAGAACCATACTTGCTCTATGTACATCCCAAAAATATTCAGAACTTACTTTTCGAGATGCACAATGGAAGTTGTGGGGCACATTCTAGGGGATGGTCTTTAGCATAGAAATAAATTTTTTAAGGGCGCTTGTGGCCCTATATGCATAAGGATGCTCAGAGGTATGTTAGGCATTGCGAGAAATGTCAGAATTCTCACCCATGTCAACACACCCGTCACAGGACCTAAATCCATTGTCAAGCCCCTGGCCCATCGCCCAATGGGGATTGGACATAGTTGGTCCTACGCCAAATGCCACTAGGAACAAGAAGAACCCTATTGTAGGAACAAACTATTTTATGAATGGGTAAAATCCGAGCCTTTTGCTCACATATGGGACACAGACACAAAGAAGTTCATTTGGAAGAACATAATTACAAGGTTTGGTATCCCAAAAAGCAGTGCTGTTAGATAACGACACTCAATCAAAAGCATACAATTCAAAGAATTCTACCAGCATTATGGGATTATAAATCATTACTTTTCTCCTGCATACCCGTAAGGAAATGGAAAAGTAGAGAGTTCAAACAAGACAATCCTTAATGGAATCAAAAAGAGGTTGAAGAAAGCTAAGTGAAGATGGGTGCAAGAGTTACCAAGCGTTTTATGGGTGTACCAAACTGCACTTCGTTGAGCAATAGAAGAAACTCTGTTTGCACTGACCTATAGAATAGAGGCTATAATACACTAAGAAATCGACTTACCTACTCTAAAGACCGACCTGGTCACCACTGGGGGAAATGAGTCCATGGTTGCCAGAGACCTAGACTTGGCTGATGAAAGAAGAGAGCTAGCTAGTATAGAAATAGCGTCTTACCAAAAATAGATAGCTTGAGCTTATAACAGAAGTGTAATTTCAAAGGGTTATGGTAGGATATTTAGTCATAAGAAAAACTACGGGCACCACGAAGAATCCTGTGGAGGGCAAACTTGGGGCCAAGTGGGAGGGACCCTACAGGGTGACCTATGTCTTGGGCTCTGATTATTACAAACTTGAAAAGATCGAATGGAAAGCAATCCAAAGCCCCTAGAATGCAATGAACCTCTGTAAATATTGTCACTAAAACAGAAGTCGCAGCACATCTAATGGAGTGCCTCCATTAGGGGACAACTCGAAGTGCCTTCAGGATTTCCAAGTGAAGGATATGTAGAACAAAATTTTCAATTAATAAAAATCTTCATTTTCATTTCCATCTCTATTTCATATATTGCAATGATCAACTGTGGAACTAGGCTTTACCAACTGCAAAGGAACAAGACCCAAGAATGAAATGCTGGGAAAATTCAACCTACTATTGAGGCAATGAGGATAAAAATCTTGACACCAACGGGCCTTTGGTCCAATGGTATTCCTTATCTTGTGCAGGATTTTCCTTCTTGAGGTCAAAGGTTCAAGTCCCCCCTCCCCTCTCCCTTCCCCCACCCCAAATTTCTTTTTTTTTTAAAAAAGGATAAAAATCTTGACATAGGAAGGGACCAAGCTCAGGTGTAGCCACCCATTTAGGCTTAGACCTGGAACTAGGCACGACGGTGTATGTTCTACCAGGCAAAGCTTTGAATCTAAAGATAGAGCCTTCCTTGAAGAAAGAGCTTCTTTTAAGGAAGGACAGGTTTGAAATATCTCTTTTTTTGACATGAGTATGAAATCCCCGAACTCTCGTTGATGATCAAGCCTCATGCAAGGAAAGTAGGGGACAAGAGCCCATTTCTAGGCATAAGTACTAAAGGCCGAACATCCCCGAGGACTGTGCCTCGAGAAAGGGAGGGGAAGAGTTGAAAGCTCATTTTTTGGCACAAGTATCAAATCCCTGAACTCTCCTTGATGATTGAGCCTCATGTAAAGAAAGAGGGGAGTAGAAGTTCGTTTCTTGGCGTATAGACCAAAGGCCCAAACATCCCCTGAGAACCGAGCCTCGTAAAACGGAAGAAAAGGGCTGTAAGCTCATTTTTTGGCCCGAGTATTCGAGCGTCGAACTCTCCTTGAGGATCGAGCCTCATTTAGGGAAAAGGGGGAGCTAAAATCTCACCTGTTGCAATAGAACCTCATTTTTTGACAAGCATTGATTTCTTATCAAAAGCAAATTCCTAAATGAAAAATTCAAAATTAATAAACAATCCATTAATAAAATGAAAAATTACATAAAATTCTTTCACGCACAAAACAAAAAAACAAAAATTACATGTTTAGAGCACTATACGAGGATTTGTTGGGTTAGTACCCTAATCATTAACAAGAAGAAAAGTAGGGCCATAAGTATCAACTGAAGGAACCTTAGTCGAAGGAGGAATCATACCCAAAGAAGAAGGAACAGTCACAATGTGCATAGAAAAGAGTCCAAAATTAGAAGGAATCTTGGCCTCCTTCAAGGCAGCATCCCACCCCTTCTTGAAGTAAAAACCCTAAATCCCCGAAACCTGCTCTATCGTAGCACTCTTTGCCTTCTCAAAACCCTTGTCATAGGCTTCGTCCATAGCAATCTTAATCGAGGATAGAAGGGCTTCCAGATTGAATTTAAGAGAGGAGTTGAGCCCTTTCCCCAAAGTAGCCATGTCGCGAGCCGCTTTCTTCGATTTCTCTATTGTCTATAACTTATGAACAAATTCTTCCTTATGGCAAGAAAATATTTCAACTTCATCCTGGAGCCAAGTAATTTTGTCAAAGGCTTTCAAGAAATCTAGAGACCTTGAAGTTAGGGTTTCCTTCACATCCTTGCCCCTAGTTGCGGTCTAAGATTTGAGATCAAAGACCCATTGCATGCCCTATAAGGAAAGTAAAGGAGAAAATCAAAGAAGGGGAGGGTACCGAACAAACTCAAAAAAGACAAGGAAGTTTGGACAAACTTAACACCACCATAAGTTGAACAACATTCCGTGCAAGAGCATCATCGTCTAGATCCTCTAAAATGCATAAGTTAGGGGGAAGAATGGACACCTTAGCCAAGCCAATTGTGATGTTGAGATTGTCAACGACCGAATCCTTTGAATGAATGTCCTTACCATGAGCATGCATCTGAGGTCTCCAAATTTGAGCCCCTTCAACTTCTTTAGTAGACAGTTCCATGATGATCTTTCTCATTTTTCCCACTAGATTATCTCTTCATTAGCTCTGTAACAAAAGATGGTATCTTCTGTTAGGTCAACATCATCCTTGAAATAGAGAAATGCAACCCGTTGTTCATAAGCAGTAGTAGTTAGGCCCTCATTCAAAGGAGGGAGAAAAGGATGCTCAACTGATGGAGTTTGTTTGGCTAGGACCATAAGTGACCAAACATCAACTGATGTATCACATTTTGACACCACCCTAAAAGCGAAGCCGACGATAAAATTAATGAATTTTTTTGCAACACAGTCTCTTCCCATGCCTTTTCTCTTTAGGACCTTTGGTACAAAAATTGATGCCTCCTTTGACTGAGTAGCCCTCAAAACTAAAAATTGTTGGGATGTCGATGATGGAATCGCTATGAAAGACTTGTAGGTGAGTTCATAGCCCAAAAACCCGTGCGCAGCTCTGCACTAGTGGTTTGAAGCGCCGAATTCCCAAAATTTCTATATATTTACTAAATTAACCCTCAAATCTAGCACCTTCCTCTTCACAGATTCTCCTACAGTAATCAAAGAACCAAGATCCTTTAAAAATAGGAAGAGGACGAAAAAAGGGAAAAACAAAAAAAGGGAACTGAACCTGGTGCACCTTCTTCGAATGGACAGTTGTAGTGAGGCTCTTTGGCCTGCCAATATTCACAGTTGCTAGAAACGAACAAGACATCATTCTCATGACCTTTATCCAAATCAAGAAGATGGGTGGCCAAGTAATTATCAGTTTTTTTGACTCGAAAGTAATAGTTTTTATCAGAGGTGGGAGCAATCGTATAATGATGTGTGGATTTTATACCTATGAACTGAGTATTCTTTGGCTTGATGAAATTGAAAGTTTCCAAGTATTTTATGTTCCTTTTTATTTTATTTTTTGTGTGTTTTAATGTTATTTCGTATGGATCATGATTTGGAAGGAAACAAGGTCATTTAGAAGGAAAGAAGGTCATTTGGAAGGAAACAAGGTCATTTGGTAGCCTAAGTGTTAGATTATTTGAAGACTAAGCAACAAGGGTAGTTGTAGGCATAAATGGAGGTCAACGCCACAGCTCTAGGTGCAGCACTACAACTCTAGAAGGGCATAAACTTAGTGCAGTAAACCTAATTTTAGGGGTTGCAGCTCTTGTTTTGGCTCAGGACGCGAATTCTAACTTGATTTTGAGTAGGAATTGAACCCTAATGCTACATATATGCTAGGGTTTGAGTTTGGATGAATATATACTGATATGAAGGACTGCTAATAGAGGATTAACCAAGGATTGATAGTGAATTGAAATCAAGGATTGAAGGAAGCAACGCGAAGAAGATTAGACTTGAAGGCTAGAGAGAGATTGAAGATTGTAACTAAGTTTTCATTCATTTTCTCTTACTTTTATTTTTTGATTCTCTAAGATGTTGATTAATTTGAGAATAATTATTTTCAATTACATTATGAACTAAATCTTTATTAAGATTGCAATAAAATTGGATGTTTCGTTAAATTGATCTACTCTTGTTTCTAGTTCTTATTGATCATATATGAGTTGTTTGTCATATTTTGTGCTTAATATATGATTGTTTGGCCAAAAATTAATTTGATTCCCGATATGAAATTGAGAAATGAATTCTAGGTTTAGATTTGAATATGATGACACGTGTCTGGTTAATTCTTCTTAGGATTGAATAGCTGGGTTTGTGTATAGAATATGAATATACCTATATGTCGTGTGTAACTTTTATGAGACTTTGAACATAATGAATATATTCTAAATTATTTTACATAGGAATATAGTAATTTAATTGGGAGAAATATTTTTATCTAACTATTAGAAGAGGTTTAATAAATAATTTTGAGTTCTCAGTTAACAATTTATTTTGTTCGAAAGAGAGTGAAAAAATTTGTATGAAGCATTAGGGAAAGTTGTAATCTTAACTTCTTTTATTTGGTACATTCAATCCTTGATTATTAAGTTTAGATTTAGTTTTAAACTAGTGAATTTATAGTTAATTTCAATTGTTTAAATAAAGTTGAATTGATATAAAGTTAGTACTTAGAAATTATTAGTAATAATTCTCCGTGGGAACGATACTCTATTTATCACTTTATTACTTCTTGATCATGTATACTTGCACGTAAATTGTCATTATCAAATTTGGGCAATAAGTTTTTGGCATCGTTGTCAGGAATTTATTCTAGTAATTATTTCAATCAATTTGATATTAGTTTAAACTTATTTAATTTTATGTTTTAATTTTTTTCACAAGCACTCTTGAATTTTGTATGCAAACACAATCTACAAGTTAGGAGCTATTATCATACGAAGACGAAATTGAAAGAAATCTCCAAAACTTGCAAAAGTAGTGTCAAAGAAGTAAATAATCAAAAAACTATGGCGGAAGATGAACATAAATCGCTAAGGGATTATGTTATGCCGCTTGTTACAAAAATACAATCGAGCATTCAAAGGCCCGCAATTCAAGAAAACAGTTTTGAGATCAAGCCAGGTACCATCCAAATGATACAGCATTCAATGTAATTTGGGGGTTTGCCTAACGATGACCTACATGATCATTTGGTGAGTTTTATGGAGATTTAGGACACGTTCAAATACAATGGGGTTTCTGAAGATGCGATTAGACTCCGACTTTTCCCATTCACACTTCATGATAATGCAAAGAGTTGGTTGCATTCATTGCCATCGGGTTCTATTGGAACGTGGACTGATTTAGCTCAAAAATTCTTAGCTACATTCTTTCCATCAGCTAAAACTACAAAGATGAGGAATGACATCACTTCCTTTGCACGACATGATTGTGAGACTCTATATGAAGCTTGTGAGCAACTCAAGGATTTACTCCAAAAATGCCCTCACCATGGTATTCCTAAGTGGTTGCAAGTTCAGACGTTCTACAGTAGGTTGTTTAGTGCTACTTGGACCAGTATCGATGCAGCTGTAGGTGGGGCATTGATGAGGATAATTTTTGATGATGCCCACGAGTTATTGGAGATGATAGCTGCCAACAATTATCAGTGGCCTTTTGCAAGGATCAATCAGCCAAAGGTGGCAAAGATCTATGAAGTCGATGCGGTTACTATATTGGCTACACAAGTTGCTACGTTGACAAAGAAGATTGATGCTTTAGGGGTGCAACCTATTCAGAGTGTGGTAGTTTTTTGTGAATTGTGTGTCGGGAACCATCCGAGCAATCAATGTGCAATTAGTTTAGTGTCAATACAATACGTTGGTAACTTCAACAGGTAACAACATGGCAACAATTTCAACAATTATAATCCTGGTTGGAGGACTCATCCAAACTTGTCTTCGAATAATAATCAAGCCCAAACTTCTACTCCAACACAATCACACCCACCAGGCTTTTAGAATTAAGCTCTACCACAACAGGAAAAAGAAGTCAAATTTGGAGGAGCTGCTTTCCAGGTATATAGCATAGAATGAGACAAGGATAAACAATATGGAAGTATCAATCCGAAACCTGGAAAACCAAATGGGTCAGCTCGCTAATTCCATTAACAACCCACCTCATGGCAATCTACCTAGTGATATAGAGATCAATCCTAAGAGGGAAGGTAAGGAGCACTGTAATGTTTTAGATTACGAAGAGGAAAAGAGTTACCTGTGGTTGTTGGTGGAACTCCAAAACAATCACACGGAGATGATACTGAGGGTAGAAAAATAAAAGATAGCAACAATGTGAAACAAGAAAAGAAAGAAGAAGATCCAGTTGCATGTTGTAATGGAGGTAATCCGAGACCTATTGTGCCTCCCGTGCCGTTTCCACAACGTTTGCAAAAATAGAAGTGGGATCAACAATTTTTAAATTCGTGGAAATGTTTAAGAAACTCCAAATAAATATCCCTTTCACAGAAGTAGTGAGAAAATGACTAACTATGTAAAATTTTTGAAGGAAATTTTGTCAAATAAGAGAAAAGTAGGCGATTTTGAGACAATTGCACTTACGGAGGAGAAAAGATCCAGAGTGATTGGAGTTGGCTTCAACTCTTCAAGTTGGAGTTGTTGATATATCGAGTAGGGTAGGAGGTTGACACTTGCCCCCAAATCAAGAAGAGCTTGCTCCACCCTGCATTTTCCTATTGTGATGGCAATGGTAGGGCATCTAGGGTCCTTGAACTTTGGTGGGGTGTTCGTCCTTAAGATTGTGCTCACTTGCTCAGTGAGGAATGCCTTCTTGTGAACATTCAATTTCCTCTTCACTATGCACAAGTCCTTCAAGATCTTGGCACATGATGGAATTTGCTTTATTACATCGAGGAGTGGAATATTAAGTTTAGTTGACGGCATTGACTTGCTCATGGTACACTTCCTTAAGTGCCAGAATGTTAGGGCACTATGATATGGAATGCTACACACTCTCACAAATTGAGCAAAACTCCTCTAACTTTGAAATATTAGATACCATGTGTCACCTATTGACCTCTAGGCTTTCCACCCTCTGAGACAACTGGGTGATTTTAGAAAGAAAATCTTCCCAGTCCCTCAAATCGTACATCCCACCCCCATGTGATTGATTACTACTCGGAGAAGAACTTGATACATTCGTGTGATCAATAATATCCCAAGATTATGCATTTTGTGCCAATGTACTAAAGTATTCGAGGGTCTCACCGGGATCTTTGTTCAAAAAATCCATGTTACACATCATATTAATGAATTGTCGATGGCCTAGTGTAATCCCTTTGTAGAAGAAACTCACCAATTTCCATGATTCAAAATCATGATGTGGAATGCATTATAGCAATTCCACGTAGCGATCCCAATAGTGATAAAACTGTTCTTTGGGCTTTTCCAAAATGTTTTGGATTTTCTTTTTAAGAGTGGTGGTTTCAGGCGCTAGAAAGAATTTGTTCAAAAACTCAGAGAGCATTTTATGCCCAAGAGGTTGTGGATCGAGGTCTTGACAAATTCAAACACGATTTGGATTTGTCCTTAAGGGAAAAGGGAAACAACT